AGGTCCACATGGAATACATAAAAGAAGGCTGCATACAAAAGCACCAGTTAATATCTTCAATTTCTTTAATTTCATCCTGTTTCTACTAAATTTCCCATGAATATAGAACATAACATTCTTACAAATCGTATATTTTTTGTTTATGGAATTGCTACTTTTGGGTAAATTACATGCATCACAAACTTAGCACCAAAAAATTAAAATAAGCTATTGGTCAATTGGTGATTTCATAAATCCATTTAGAAGAGCTGACTATTATTAAGGGTACTTTAAAACTGAAATCTGTTTCTAAATACGACCATTTTATGGGAAGATATAGCGATACAAATATCGAAAAATCCGCTGATATGTTTACTAAAAATAGAACAAAATGACGGATTTTTAGAAATCTAAGTCCTTATATCTTCGCAAGGAATGGTTGTATTTCGAAACCGATTTGATTTTTAAGATACCCTTAGTCTGCACTTCTAAATGGATTGATGAAATCACCTGTAGCTTATTTTTAATTTTTGGCACCAAGTTTTTAACGTAACGTAATTTACCCGCCAGAAAGCACCAATTCCAAAAACAAAAACATACAATTTATAAGAATGTTATGTTCTATGTTCATGGGAAATTTAGTAGAAACGGGCTGAAAATTAAAAAAAGTTGAAGCATATATTGGCGCTTTTACATGCATTTTTGACAGGCATGCAAATAAATTTGCAACAGATTCCAAGAGATATGTTGGGTGGTGCCGGGGTTCTCTAGGGTTGGACCCCTAGAGCACATTACCCTGATCCAGAAAATTCCCGCCACTACATGAACGTGTTCAAGACTCCGACTACGCTGAATGATGGACCACAACAATCTGTTGATGATTTCGCCCCTAGAGTCAATCTAAAACGGCTTTTTAAAGACGGTGCCATTTCGTCTGGCGATAGTGAGGTGAAAGAAGCAGCGAGTCGGTATTGTCGAGGAACGAGAAGCACGTGCTTGAGTATATCAGACATCTTGAGGAACAGCAAGTTGTATCTGCGATAAGAGAGAATTCCGGATTGGGCCCCTTGGATTCCGGATTCTGGGGGGCATTGAAAATTTTAAAACTCGGGGGGAGGGGCATCGAAAATTTATCAATAACCCCAACAGGGGCCCTGTAAAAATGTGAGCTTTTTTCAAGACATCCTCATCCCCCTCCTTCGGCATAATAAATTTACTTTCCCTTACTGCATGATATATAACCAGCCTGCCATTCAGCTGACTATTAGTTTAGTTTAGTTTAGTTTAATGAAATATGTCACATTACATTACATTGCGAATTACAAATTACAAATAAATACAGGCCTTGCATGCAACACCTAAACTAACAATGACACAAAGACGGAGTGACAGGAGAGGAAAACAGGACTAACGTCCCAATTGACAATCCTCCCCCTGACAATCGTCCCAATTGACAATCCTCCCCCATATTAAACAGCCATCTAAAAAATTGGATTGGCATAATTATTTAAAATAGTACAATTATCATGTACGGTTTGGTATGTTCTATTAAATGAAGACACAAAGTGGTTTCTTCACATGATAGTATTATTAATAGTACAAAGGATGTATAGAAATGTAACAAGATAAAGTATATTTCAGCATGATAATTGTAGACCCAGTGTTAGTAAAAACCATGCAAGGCAAGAGCCAGATTGATTTGAGTGAAAAAGCCTTGGTCTGGTGTGTGGTTGTCAGATTGGCCGAGTACGCCAATCAGTGAAGCAACATCCAAGCTAGCTAACGCCACTGTCTGAAATCTGAAATTAGCTGGGTGCACTTACTATATTAAAATATTTAGTACCTGCATGGTGTGAATTACATTGTACAATCGAGCATTTAAACAATAACATGGTAGATGATTATAATAATAATTTATTTTTTTTAATTAATCCAAATAAACATGTTCAATTGTCAGAGTTTTCATGCAAGAAACTTGGTGCTATTTTGCATGTCTGGGATGGAGACTAAGGTGCTGCATCCTAGAAAAAAATAGTGTGGACAGCAAGGTTTACACTACAGAGTGTATAAAAAAAAACTGAACAGATTTAAAATTGCTCTCAATTTCGCAAAACAGCTATTTGTAGCTGGTTTTTTATATATATAGCTTCTTTGGGTACTTATAATGTAAAATAATGGAAAAAAATTTCTCGAACTTAAATTTTGTGAACCAGGGGGGTGTGTCTTTTCCAACAAAATAAAAATGGCTCGCGCACAAAATTTAAAAGCTGCAATCATATTTTGAGATAACAGATTTGTCCAGATTTTAATTACTGTACAAAATTTCAGACAATTTGGTTTAGTTTAAGCCCCTTAACTATTCACGCAAAGTTACAATTTTCCCGAAAAATCAGCTATTTGCATGCTTAATTAATGCATTTGCCTAATTTGCATATGTCAGCAATATGAAAATTAGGTAAAGGCATTAATTAAGCATGCGAAAGGCTGACTTTTTAGAACAAAATGAATAGTTAAAGGGCTTAAACTAAACCAAATTGTCTGAAATTTTGTACAGTAATTAAAAACCCGACAACTTTTCAATCTATTAACTCAGAATATGATTACAGCTTTTAAATTTTGTGCGCGAGCCATTTTTAGTTTGTTGGGAAAGACACCCCCCCCCCTGGTTCACAGAATTTGAGTTCGAGAAATTTTTTTTATTATTTTACATTATAAGTACCCAAAGAAGCTATATATATATAAAAAACCAGCTACAAATAGGTGTTTTGCGAAATTGACAGCAATTTCAAATCTGTTCAGTTTTTTTTGATACACCCTGTATATATATATATATATATATATATATATATATATATATGTATATATATATATATATATATATATATATATATATATATATATATATATATATATATATATATATATATATATATATATATATATATATATATATATATATATATATATATATATATATATATATATATATATTATATATATTTTCGTTTATTGTTGCAACTGATCTATTATATACAATTAAAAAAGATAAAAAAGTATACTGAATTTTCGGTCGCTAACTGCGACCTTCCTCAGAGTTAACTATAATGTCAAGTTGATTTGAACAAGTTTTAAATACTTGCGTATGCAAATTTACAAGGTATGCAACAAAGGCAAATAAGTTTGCGGGCAAATTTTACGCTCATTAACTGCCATTGTCTCCTTTGTTGAGTGTAATGACTCGAGAAATATACGTTTATCATAATTATGTACGCCCCTCTCTAAAATTTCTACATCCCCAGAGCATACTTCGTGTCCAGTTCGTTCTGCATGTTCCTTTATAGCCGACTCAATCTGCGGTCTTGTTCCCGGTTTATGTTCAGCCCAACGGGATTTCCATGATCTTTTACTTTCTCCAATGTAAAGGAAATTACATGTTTTACATTTGAATTTGTAAACAATGCCTTTGACTTGAGTTTCTGATGGTCTGTCTTTCGGTTTTTTGAATATTCCACCCAATGATGTTAGTGGCTTATACGCTGTTCTGATATTGGCACCAGTCAAGATTCGGTTGACTCTCTCAGAAACGCCTTTGACATATGGAATACATGCATAGCCTTTGGGCTCAGTAACAGAAGCTGGTTTGTTCGAACTTTCGGGTTTACTTGCAACACTGTTTATAAAAGCAGATGTGTAACCATTTACACTTAAGGTCTTTCGAACATTTTGTTTCTCAGCTTTTTTCCCCTGGATAGTATTCGGAATTTTATCAGCTCGATCAAGCAACGTTTTAACCACTGTAGCTTTGTGTTGTTTTGGATTGTGTGAGTCGAATGATAAGTATTTGTCCGTATGTGTAGCTTTTCTGTGTACAGCCACCACCACGTTTCCGCATGGTCTGACAACAACTTCCGTATCCAGGAACGAAATGACGTCATTATCGCCCACCGTCGTAGGTAACTCAATGGTGAATTGAATGCATGGATTTATCGAATTCAAATGGTCGTGAAAACTTTGAACGCAGCAACGCTTTAGACAAGAATTGGAGTCGTCTACATAACGTTTCCACCATTTCAAGTCAACTGGCGATGTCGTTATAGCTATTCCTTCGACTTCTTGCATAATAAGTTCCGCGATAACGGCACTCACCGGCGATCCCATGGCACACCCTGAAATTTGATGAAAAAAGTTTCCTTGAAATTTGAAAAAACTGTTGTTCAAGACAAATACCAGAAGATTTACGACTTGTTTAGCAGTCAAAAGTGTACATCCTTTCCATTTGTGGGATTCAGAAAGTCGTCGCTTCACTACATCCACAGCCATTTTTACGGGAATGGAAGTGAAGCCACTAACAACATTGGGTGGAATATTCAAAAAACCGAAAGACAGACCATCAGAAACTCAAGTCAAAGGCATTGTTTACAAATTCAAATGTAAAACATGTAATTTCCTTTACATTGGAGAAAGTAAAAGATCATGGAAATCCCGTTGGGCTGAACATAAACCGGGAACAAGACCGCAGATTGAGTCGGCTATAAAGGAACATGCAGAACGAACTGGACACGAAGTATGCTCTGGGGATGTAGAAATTTTAGAGAGGGGCGTACATAATTATGATAAACGTATATTTCTCGAGTCATTACACTCAACAAAGGAGACAATGGCAGTTAATGAGCGTAGAATTTTCCCGCAAACTTATTTGCCTTTGTTGCATACTTTGTAAATTTGCATACGCTAAGTATTTAAAACTTGTTCAATCAACTTGACATTAGTTAACTCTGAGGAAGGTCGCAGTTAGTGACCGAAAATTCAGTATACTTTTTTACCTTTTTTAATTGTATATAATAGATCAGTTGCAACAATAAACGAAAACATGTCTCTTACTGATCGCACAACCAGCATATATATATATATATATATATATATATATATATATATATATATATATATATATATATATATATATATATAGATATATATATATATATATATACATATGTATATATATAATTTCGCTTACCCCAAAATTCCGCAACAGTTTGTTTCATCAGTAAAGAATCTTCAGGCGGTACCGCCTGATGATTCTCTGCTGATGAAACAGACTGTTGCGGAATTTTGAGGTAAGCGAAATTTTACATTTGCTCTATTTTTATAGACTGCGAGCAATCTAATGAAATGCATATCTAATGAAATTTGATCTAATTAATTCAAGGCAATTCGGTTTATCTTGGAATCTGTGATAAAACATTAAATTGGTTTAAATCATATTTTACTGATAGAACTCAACAATGTTATGTTAATGGTTATTTATCTGGTAAAGTGCAGGTCAAAAGTGGAGTTCACCAATGTTCAGTTCTAGGTCCTTTATTATTTCTTATTTGTATAAATGATTTGACGACTTCTGTTAATCATGGTACTGCCCGAATGTATGCAGATGATACTAACGTATCATTCTCAGCATGTGTTTTTTCTGAACTTCAACGGCAGATGAAAAAAGACCTGGAACATTTAGAATCCTGGCTTATAGCCAACAAACTTACTTTAAATACACTAAAAACTGAATATATGGTTGTTGGTTCAAAACAAAGAATAAATTCACTTGTGGGTAATCTGACACTTTCCTTAACGATATATCTCTGCGTAAAGTTAAGAGTACTAAGTGCTTAGGGGTGACAATAGACGAATTTCTCACATGGGCTGAGCACATAGATAATGTAATTAAAAAATTAGCGATCAACATTAGTCTTCTACGTAGAAATAGAAAAGTCTTGAAAAAGTGCGATCTTACGAATGTATATATACAGCTATTGTAGAACCTTATTTTATTACTGTTGTATAATTTGGGATGGTATCAGTGACTATTTGTGACCTTCCTTGGGAAAACGTACGTTAACGATTTTGCATTAAAACGGGCAAAAAAACGGTTAACGAACGGATAGTAAACGCTTTGTCAAATCGTTTCAACGGATCATAAAAACGTTTTAGACGTTTTGAGTAAAAAATACGAACGGGTAAAGACAAAAAATTAAACGGCTCTACGAACGGCTTTAACAAACCGTTCGAACGAAATTAAGAAACCGTTCAAACGATATTCGGTAACCGTTTCAACGGATCTGCACAGAATGGTATAAAGCAGTGAACAATAATATACAAAAACGGGCAAGTAGGCTATACACTGATCCAGAATTAACCAACACACATTTATCCAAAAGCATGCGTATAAGCACAAACAAAATAGATCACTTTGGTGTTTATAAACGTTTCATCGTTTCAAACGTTTCATCGTTTCAAAAGTTTTATCGATTTCCGTACCAACAAATTAAAAGACGCTAAAGCCGGAGACACGCGGCGGTGTTTTTGCATAACACGACACAGCTGATATACATGAGACTTAAGCCCGTGACTTAAGTAAGGTCTCTACTGTAAACGCGACTATATACGCAATCAGTTATATTTATAAGGCCTAAAACTAAACGTATAGTACCTGTAGCTATACGAAACAAGAACTAGAACCATTATCTGTGTTGATGGAACCTGTCGCGAGTGCTATATTGTCTCAATTATAGTAAATGGCTCAAAAATCGGGTGTCCATTATAGCGTATTGGTAATTTCCTCTATATTAATGCCTGTGAAACACGGCACTGAGATCTAAAATGCTCAGTGCATGCTGAGTTAAATTATTGTTACTAATATTTTGCATAATTCATATATTAGTTAGCTCCGGAATATTAGGGAAAGATGCAGTCACAACGGATTTAATAGCGATAGGCCTATATCTGTTAAAGTAAAAGGTCAACTGGTCAAGATGTAAAGGTATATAAACCAACTATAAACAGTTTGAACAGCAAATAAACACAGCATGCACGCAGCAATTAAGGTATATTGCAGAGTGCAGAAAGCAGAATAATGACGATATATTGGTATACTGAAATATTGCAGAGTGCAGAAAGCAGAATAATGACGATATATTGGTATACTGAAACATTTGATGCTCTCCTTAAAATGCAGGGGCGGATTTAGACCGTTGCAACCGTAGCATTTGCTACGGTCAGATTTTCCCAAGATATATTTTTCCAGGGTGTACCTTTGAAAAATTAAATAATTAATTATACTAGTGCAAATATTTTCAATTCTTCATTGCTAATTAGTGCAATTTTTTTCCAATTTACTAAATTATATTGATAAAATTTTCTCGAGTTTTTATTTCATTTTCGACAATTAAATTTGGGATTTTATCAAATTTCCACCCGAAAATACTGCCCGTATTTGCAGGTTTTACAGCAATACTAAATCTCATCATTCTGAAGTCGAAGCAAGCCATTGCAAACCGTAGCATTTGCCTCATTCTGATTGGCTTGCTTCGTCTAAGCGTAGCAAACCAATCAGAGCGCTGTATTTGCAAATTTTTGCAGTGGTCAGATTGAAACTGACCGTTGCAAAAATTTGCAAATACGGCATTGTGATTGGTTTGCTACGGTTGGACGAAGCAAGCCAATCAGAATGAAGCAAAATGCTACTGTTTGCAATAGTCGAAGCGACTTCAGAGCGATGTTGACTTGTTATTGTCTAAATTTTAATCGCCGCTCGTTGCAAGGACAAAATATGGCGGCTTGTACGTTTCCACTCGACGAGCTTCTGTGTATTATGAACGAACGTGTTTCTTTTAACGAAAAGGCGACTAAACTAGCCTCCATTAAATCTCTGTGTGAGAAAATGGTTGTGGATGAATCGCGAAATAAGTCAGATCGAAACGTTTTGGTTCCCGCGAAGTGAACAACAGTGCTGTTTGAATCACCTCCCTGTCAGGTCAGTCTTATGAATATATTACTGTAAATATGTAAATAACATATCGAATTGTTTACACAGTTCATTCGTCTCGAATATATTACCATATTTGTGCTCATGAAACGTATTACAGTATTATAAAAATAGTTATACTATTACAGGACAATGCCAATGGCCTCTCATACTATTTGATAGCCATTGCCATTGGCATGCCATGTGTGTTTATTTTAAGAAATATGTAAGTTAGTCCTCGAGTTAGTCTGCTATATATTTTATATCTTAGACTCTGCTCATGTAAGTTTATTGTAGACCTGCTGTAGTCTATGTCTATGAAGACTAGTGAGTGGTGTCAACATTATAAATTTATAGAATACATGTAAATTTATAGAATACATTTATATACATACATTATATTTACATGCTGTATAATAACAGAGTTTAGAATTGTGGGATAATATATCATAAAATATATGGTTAGGTGTTTCAAATCCATGTATTGTATGTGGTCCTTGTGAATGAAAGTGCCAAACAGTCAAACCAAATACTCCAAATGCACCTAATAATAACCATATTATTTCCTCAACAACAGTAAATAAGTTATAACTTATTTACTGCTGTTCAGGAAATGCATTTTATGGCTTCAGGACTGTTGTTGTAGTACCCTGGTTCCAGAGGCTGACTTTTACGAGGCGAAAGAAACGAGAGGCGAGAACGGAGAGCCTCTGGTCACATCGATTGCAAATCGCACTTCCACACTTGATTAGGTTCAGAATTTGAATCTTGCATGTGATCAAGTGTGGAAATAGGATTTGTATTCGATGTGACCAGAGGCTCTCTGTTCTCGCCTCTTGTTTCTTTTCTGGAACCAGGGTATTGTTACAATGTACTGTTGTTGTTTTGCTTGACCCTGTGGAGGGCAACTAACACAGGTTAGGGGAATATAACATTTTCAATTTACCAGATCCTGGGTAAATAATATTCAATGACAATATGAAAATGTTGGCCCATTGAGCCCCAGTGCACCCTTAATATTTTTTTACTTGTCTAACACCAGATGATCTTACTTGTCAAAGGGGAAGCTCTGCAGTTTAATGGGTTAACCAAAAAATCTGACAATGTCTCTAGTTAGCCCATTGAGTCGCAATACGTCCCAGTGCGCCCTACGTACATTTTTTTACTTGTCGTACATTTTTTTACTAGTCTAACGCCAGAAGATTTTACTTGTCATTGCATGGGGAAGCTCTGAAGCTTAATGGGTTAATATGTCTTTGTTACTCTGTATTTGCCCACCTTACACAT